CGCCGACCCTCGAAAACCCAATGATGCGAGGGACCCTAGCCGGGCAGCATCCTTGCCCCCGCGAGCCTTGGGCCAGGGACGCCGAAAACATGCTCAGGATAGCCAGAACCGAAGGATGCAAGGTGCCCTTGCGAAAAAAGGGACGTCTGACAGACTTTCCAAACCTTCTCCCAGGCCACAGAAGGCTTCTCAGAGGGCTTCCTAGAAGGCTTTTGAAAAACCTGGCCGCCCTCTGAGAAGCCTCGCCCCCTCTCACTTGCCCCCCTCGGCGCGCCGCCGATAGGATGCGTCCTGAACAGACATCCTGGCCGCACGCAAGATCATGCAAACTCTGAGCCCCTTGCGCGAAAACATGCTCCCACGCCCCGACTGGAGTGGCACAAGCGAGCCACACGTTTCATGCCACGCCCCAGTACCATCGGCGACAGCCGAAAACTCCGTCCAGAGAGACTCGAACCTTGACGCGACGAGATAGACTGCGACGGTACCCCCTGCTGAGCCGCCATGAACGGAAATCCCGACGATTGCGACACACCCCACATCTCGGCACCCGCTAACATGGATTACGGATCCGTGGACCTGGCAGGAGAGCTCAGAATCGAATCGTTAGGTCGGATCGGCGATCGAAATGAATCAGATCGGCGGAAATCGGCAGCCGAATAGGGAAAAGTCGAATCGGCGGAACTCTGCAGGCTTGTAGGCCTCCAGTGAGAAATCGGAGCCCAAATCGGAATCCGACGTCGAATCGAAATCGGGAGCCACCGACATGGAATCAAATCGGACCAGAGGAATCGAAATGAGCCCTGACCTGGCGCGTGGGCGCCAGATCCACGGATCGGGGATTGCACCCCCATACGCAGCCAGGAGCCAGAAGCCTTTCCCTTGGCAGCGGGTGGAACAGCATTTTCTAGATTTCATGAAGAGTGACTGATGTATATCATTTGTAATTTAACGATGCCCTGTCCACTACTGTTATCTTGCATGCGCGCTTTGTTGCCGTAGTGTCTCACGCCCTCCGGCTCCGCTTGCGGAGCGAGGTGCCTCCATAGGCCCCTCGACCGGACTTGACCTTGACCTTGACCCCCATACGCAGGCCAGTGCCGACGCCGTCGGCGACGGAGCGCGTCGATACGTATGATGTGTATAGGAGCGGGACGCGCGTCGCCAATCCACGCGCCCTCCGTCCCTGTCCGCGCTCTTCCTCGACCCATCCAGCGCCCAGGCGCCCACCCTGCGCAGGATCACGCGCACTCGCGCGAGGCAGCAGCCCGGCAGCCCAGGTCAGCGCAGCCGGCGCGACGGCTGGGGAAGTGAGATCGCCAAAACAAGGAGCAGACCCTCCTCCTCCTCCTCCTCCTCCTCCTCCTCTTCCTCCTCCTCCTCCTCCTCCTCCTCCTCCTCCTCCTCCCCCTCCCCCTCCTCGTCCTCGTCCTCCTCTTCCTCCTCCTCCTCCTCCTCCTCCTCCTCCTCCTCCTCCGGTTCCTTCCTGTTCTCCTCCGCCCTGACTATCGCCCTGCCTCTTCCCCCTCCCTCTCTGGTGCCTGCCCCCTCGTGCTTCCTCCTGCCTTTTCCTTCTCTCTCCTCCTCCTCCTCCTCCTCGTCGTCCTCCTCCTCCTCCTCCTGCCTCCATTCCTTCTCTTTCTACTCAACTCCTCCCAATCGCACCCCGAGGCCGGTCGAAAGGGCGGGCTGGGAGTTTCGCCTGAGACTTCATCACCATCTATGACCCTGAAGCTAAACAAAATAACAACAATTTCACACATTGAGGGCGGCCGGTTTTCGAATGTGGCTCTCGCCTTCGTTTTTTAAACAATTGCAAGGATTTTCACGGATTGGGGGCGGGCGGTTTTCAACTAGTGCCTCTCGCCTTGTCGCCGCGCACATTCGTTTTCAAAACATTGCCAGGAGCTTCACGGATTGAGGGCGGCTCGTTTTCAACATGTGGTTCTCGCCTCAGCGCCGCGCACATTTGCTTTCAAAACATTGCAAGGAGCTTCACGGATTGAGGGCGGCTGGTTTTCAAAATGTGGCTCTCGCCTTAGCGCCACGTGCATTCGTTTGAGCACAAATGGTGTTTTGAAAGGCTCAGGATTGTGAAGACGCGACAGTTGCGTTGATTCGCGGTGTTGAAGTCACACGGATGGTGTTCTGGCACGGCTCAGGATCGTCAACACGCAACAGTCAGGTTGATCCGTGGCGTTGGAGTCCCGTGAATGGTGTTTTAGAGTGCTTCAGGGTCTTCAAACAGCTGTCTCCCAACGGAGCCGTTCCTTCAGTGGAAACAAACCCTTGTAGGGGCATGTGAACAGGGAGCTTGGAGGGAGGGTGTATTTCCAGATCGGTGATGTGTCTTGGGTTTACACTGGTCCTGCGTCCTCCTTCTCGTCAATCCTACTCCTCATTCTCTTCCTCCTCCTCCTCCTCCTCCTCCTCCTCCTCCTCCGTGACTTCGGTTTCTGAGCAACGCCTGCAGCAGCGCGCCCGTGCCATGGGCCATGGGCAGCCGAGACAGCGGCGCAAACGAGCAACGCGAGAAGCATCCACGATATGAATAAAGATCCCCCTCCATGCAAATATTTTCTGCTGCTCATCCTCATGTTCCCTTTTCCTCCTCATCATCCTGGTGTTGAACCTCCTCCACCTCCTTCTCCGCTTCCTCCTCCTGGTCGTCTCCTCCTGTTCAGTATCCCGCTCCTCCTTCCCCCACTATCATTCTCATCCGACTTATTCCCCTCCTCCTCCCAACTCCTCTTCATCAGATCACCATCATCATTCTCATCATCTCATCCACATTCCTATTATCAGCCTCCCCCTCCTCTTCCTCCTCCTCCTCCTCCTCCTCCTATTACCCTTGTTGTCCCTGCTCGTCCTCCTCATCCTCCTCCTCTTCCTCTTCCTCTTCCTCCTCCTCGTCCTCCTCCTATTACCCCTTTTCCCCCCTGCTCCTCCTCCTCCTCCTCCTCCTCCTCCTCCTGCCTCCTCCCTCAACTCCTCTTCTCATCCTCCTCCTCTCCTCCTCCTCCTCCTCCTCCTCCTCCTCCTCCTACTCCTCCTGCTCCTCCTCCTCCTCCGCCTCCCTCTCCTGCTCCTCATCCTCCCTCTCCTCCTCCTGCCCCTCTCTCGACGTCGACGTCGTCCGTGGCTTCCTCTTCCTGCTTCTCCTCCTCGTCCTTCTCCTACTGCTCCCCATCTCCCCCCGCTCGCCCCTCCTCATATTCCTCCACCTCGTCGTCGCCATCCTCCTCTTCCTCCTCCTGCTCCTCCTCCTCCTCCTCCTCCTCCTCCTCCTCCTCCTCCCGTTCCCATCCTGCCTCCTCGCCAAAACGCACCACCCCGCAAAAAAAACTGTCGACACCATGTGCAACGACACGACGCCACACAGCACGACACGGACAGATCTGACACGCCCTGTCGACCTGCGCCACAGATTGTGCCCAACACCGCGGGCCGCGGAATCAAAGCCTGACCCAATTTGCCCCCCTGCACAATCCGTTGCGCCAGACACAGCACGCCACAGAATCACGTGTTGACCCCCTTTGGCACCCCTGGCCACACATTACACCAAACACCGCGCGCGCCACGGAATCACGTGTTGACCCGATCTATCCCCCTTGTAGAAATATGCGACACGGGCTGCGCAAAACATCCCGCTAGGCCGTGTAACCGCGATCACCGCTCCAAGCACCCCCCCGAAGGAGAAGAAAGAGGACCGGAAGAGTCGGGAAGGGAGGAGGCCACAGAGCCGCGAAGATCACAGAATCCGAGCCCCCCGGATCGGCGGCACTGGCCGGAAGCCATTACAATATGCGACACGGGCTGCGCAACGGAGGCTGTGCCCCGGCGCCCCGGTTGCAGCTGCCCGACGCTTCGTGTCCATGTTTCCGATGGCCCAAAGGATGATCCAACATCCAGCCACGCCACCGTGCGAGAAGTTTCGCTGGACACCCCGCAACACCACCAAAGCACATTTCCCAGGTGATTCTAAGAAAATGCCTTCTGTCGATGTCGCCATGAATTTCATCAGACACCCCTGCCACGCCACCAAATCGCGATGTTCCATGGAAGTCTTCCCTTCCACAAATTGCGTCATACCCTGTGCCACACCAACCCGAGACAAAAGCAAATCGCGAGCTCCCGGGTGAATCTACCTTAAATGGGGTGCGGCATTGGTTGCACCAGAAACCACGCCGCGCCACCGAATCGTGACTTTATGCTAAGTCTGGCTTCCAGCGTTACGCCAAACACCACACCACGACACAAAATCGCGGTTCCCTGCGTGTGTGTATCCGACATGGATTGCGCCATAAGTTGCGCCAGACACCCCGCCACGCCACCAAATCGCGATCTGCAATGTGCATCTATCTTCCTGAGATTGCGCCAAACACCCTGACACGCCCTCACACGGTGCTTTCCTGTGTGAGCCTGCCCTCCGCAGGCCGGGTTGCGCCATCTTCCACAGGTTGCGCCAAATATTCCGCGACAGGTTGCGCTAGATGACTAGCCGCGCCACGACATCGCGACTTGCAATGTGAATCTACCTTCCGTAGGTTCCGCCACTGGTTGCGCTTGATTCCACGCCACGCCACCAAATCGAGACTTCTAGGGCAGATATACTCTGTGTTGCGCCATTCGTTGTGCATCGTTGTGCCACACCCCGCTGCGCCACTATATCGTGATTTCCGGCGTGAGCCTGTCCTCCATAAATTGCGCCACGCATTGCGCTGGACACTCCATCACTCCACCAAATCACACTTTCCCGTGCGAGTCTACCCTACATAAGTTGCGCCATAGATGTCGCCAAACAGCCACCAACGCTACCAAATCGTGATTTCCAAAGTGATTGCACCTTCGAGCATCATGTAGCCTTCAGTAGGCAAGCCTACATATATTGATTATGTCGGAAGCAAAATAGCATGTCAAAATAGTCGCAGACAGCGAACGTGTATTTAGCAAGCGAACTGCACAAGCAAGCAATCAGTCAAGAGCTGGGAATGGCCCACCGCATCGAGCTTGAAGCTGGCCGGCTGGCCGCTCATGTACGAGTCATCGAATTTCTCACCTGCGGGCCAAGAATTCTGAAAGTCCACTACACATGAGGTGTCCGTTCTTAGATGAAATAAAAGCCGCCAGTGAACGATTGCGCCGCTGGGGCCGCAAGATGGCGATGACGTGTAAAATCAGATTCGGTCGCGCTGCTGCCGCCAGAAAAATGGTGCACAGACCACTGCAACATGCGGCCAATGTACTGACCGAATCAACCGCCAGGCAACCATTTGATCAGCTTGCGCCAGGCGCCAAGCAAGAACCTCAGAAGACACTGCGCCATTGGCTTCCCGGCACTGGCGCCCAACACACTTGGGAGGAGCGCCCGACCGCGAAGCCGCCCTGTCATCACTTTTTCGTCGGCGGCGAGGCAGAGTTGGCTGCGCCAGCGCGAGACGCAGGACGTGGGCACCGAGAAGCGAATTGGCCAGCGTGCAAGGGAGGGGAGGAGGAGGAGGGAGGAGGAGGAGGAGGAGGACGAGGAGAGATGAGGAATGAGTACTAGGAGGAGGAGGACTAGGAGGAGGATGGAGGCGTAAGAGGAGGAGCAGGATAGGATATGGATGTAAGAGGATGAGGAGAAGGAGGAGGATGGAGGAGGGAGGAGAAGGAGGAGGAGGAGGAGGAGGACGAGGAAGAGGAGGAGCAGGAGAAGGAGGAGGAGGAGGAGCAGGAGGAGGAGGAGGAGGAGGAGGAACCGCCCACTCACCACATGCGCAACGAGACGGCACGGTGCAGATTGGGCGGGGCTCCCCTCCCGCGGGCAAGCAGGCCGCCCCCGCCAGGGAACGCCACCTGCAGAGAGGCCGCCCACCGCGGCTGGCGAGAGTGCCGACGGCCAGCGATGGGGGGCCTGAACCTCCTCCTCCTCCTCCTCCTTCTCCTCCTCCTCCTCCTCCTCCTCTCTCCTCCTCCTCCTCCTTCGCTCTCTCCCCTCCCTCCCCCCTCCTCCTCCTCCTCCTCCTTCTCCTCCTCCTCATCCTCCTCCCTCCTCCCTCCCCTCCTCCTCCTCCTCCTCACCTCCTCCTTCCCTCCTCCTCCTCCTCCTCTCCTCCTCCTCCAACTCCTCCAACTCCTCCACTCTGTCACTCCTCCTCCTCCCTCCTCCCTCCTCCTCCTCCTCCTCCTCGCTCCTCCTCCTCCACCTCCTCCTCCTCCTCCTCCTCTCCTCTCCACTCCTCCTCCTTCTCCTCCTCCTCCTCCTCTCCTCCCTCCTCCTCCTCCTCCTCTACCTCCTCCTGCTCCCTCCTCCTCCTCCTCCTCCTCCTCCTCCTCCTCCTCCTCCTCCGCCTCCTCCTCCTCCTCCTCTCCTCCTCCCCCTCGCGCTCGCGCGCCGCGCCCCGCGATGCGCGGCCAGCTTCGCACTCACGCGCTGGCCCCCTGGAGAAGGGCGGCTCTCCAGTCCAAGAGGGATCATCTTCGCGCCCCTCCCTGACTCCGGACTGTCGTGCTTTGATTGACTTTCAAGCTTACTTTGATGTCGGAAATGCACCCCAACCAATACGAACAAATATGGCGGAAAATTCCGCATTAGAAAAATACTCCAGCGTGCCTGCACGAAGAGGGCACGCTAGAATAGTCGTCTGTTGTCTGGAAGGGTTTTTGACTGTTTTCTAGAGCCGCCCCCTCCCACTCTCCCCGCACACGTAGCTCTGAGATCGCTCCCTGTGCAACTGCCTTCCTGAGCTCTCTTCGGCCTCCAAGCGGCCAAGATGACCTCCAAGACAGCTTCCAAGGCAGCCAAGATGACACCAAGACGGCCCAAGATGGCCCAAGACGGCTCGAGAGGCTCACAAGGTGGCCCCGCGACAGCTCACGAGGCTCCCGAAACGGCCCGAGAGGGCTCCAAGAGGCCCTCTAGGCTCTAGGGGAGCCCCACGGGGCCCGAACCAACCATTGAATTTCCGAACGTAGGCTTTTGAAGGATTGTGAGGCTCTCGCCTAGTTGGGTTTCCGACGGCCCAAGACGGTCCGAGGGGCTTTCAAGATCGCTTCAAGACAGCCCACGAGGCCCCCAAGAGGGTCCCGAGCCGGCCCAAGAGAACCCCAATATCTCCAAAGAGGCTCCCGAGAGGGCTCCAAGACGGCCGAGAGTTGCTTCCAAGACAGCCTCCCAACGCGTCCGACGGGCCAAGCGTCCCTAAGACGGTCCAAGAGGCCCCTAAGAGGCTTCAAAAACGACCCGAGGCGGCCCCCCAGAGGCCCCCCAGAGGCCCCCCAGAGGTTTCCAGTAGGCCCCCAGGAGGCCCCAAGGGGGTCCAAAGAAGCGTTCTCCTCCTCGTCCTCATTTTCTCCATCTCCTCCTCCTCCTCCTCTTATTATTGTGATCACTCTTGTTATTCGCATTGTCATTCTCATTATTATGAGTTTCAAATACGTAGCACCCCGCAATTGCGGATAAGAGTGAGGGGGCGGGCGCGGGCGACGCGGGCGTCGTCGAGCCGGCGGACCTCGTGGCCCCCACCTTCCTTGTCGATGGCGCTCTCCTCCACCTCCTCCTCCTCCTCTTCCTCTTCCTCCTCCTTCTCCTCCTCCTCTTCCTCGTCCTCATCGTCATCGTCATCCTCCTCCTCCACCTCGTCCTCCTCCTCCTCCTCTTCTTCCTCGTCCTCCCTCTCCCCCCCTCGTCTTTTCATCATGGTCCTCCCATTGTCGTCCTCCCCCTCATCGGCCTCCATCATCGTCCTCCCATTGTCGTCCATCATCATCATCATCCTCCCCATCCTCCCCCTCCTCGTCCTCCTCCTCCCCCTCCTCCCCCTCCTCCCCCTCGTCCTCCTGTTCCTCCTCCTTTTCTGTTTCCACGTTTGCCTTACATCCTCTCTTCTTCCACGTTCTCCTCGTCCCCTGTTTACTCATCCTGCCTCCCCCCTTTCCCAAGATAACTGCAACGCAATCCTTTTTTCCACTTTATGCTCCCCGCCTTCTCTGATCAAGGCAACTCGCCAGGGCAAAGTTGCTGGACGGGCTGGCGTGGATGTGCGGGGCGTGAAGAGGTCCTTGCGGGCTCAGACGGCATGCAAGAAACCGCCGCCGCGCTTGTGCGGCATTGGTTTGTTCAGTGAACGTGGTTTAGGTCGCGGGTGGGTCGCGGGCTCTCCACCTCCACCTGGAAGGAATGCAAAAGCAGCCCGCCGCAAGCGCCAAAAAAATGGTTCGTACACGGAACGAGGTTTGGGTCGCGGGTGGGCCGCGGGTTCTCCACAGAGAACGAATGCAAAGGATGCCCGCCGCAGGCGCCGAAAATGTGGTTTGTACCCTGAACGTGGTCGCGGGTGGGCCGCGGGCTCTCCACCTGAAACGAATGCGAAATATGCCCGCCGCAGGCGCAGAAAAATGTGGTTTGTACCCTGAACGTGGTTTGGGTCGCGGGTTGGTCGCGAGTTGGTCACGGGATGTGTCGCGGGCTCTCCACTTGGAAGGAATGCAAAAAAAGCCCGCCGCAGGCGCCGAAAATTGTGGTTTGTACCTTGAACGTGGTTTGGGTCGAAGGTGGGTCGCGGGTGGGTCGCGGGGTGAGTCGCGGGTGGGTCGCGGGTGGGTCGCGGGTGGGTCGCGGGCGGGTCGCGGGTGGGTCGCGGGGTGGGCCGCGGGCGGGTCGCGGGGTGGGTCGCGGGTGGGTCGCGGGTGGGTCGCGGGGGGTGGGTCGCGGGGTGGGTCGCGGGGTGGGTCGCGGGGTGGATCGCGGGTGGGTCGCGGGTGGGTCGCGGGGGGGTCGCGGGATGGGTCGCGGGGTGGGTCGCGGTGGGGACGACGAATCAAAAACAACAAACAAACAAACAACACACAACAAACAACAAACAACAAAACACAAAACACCAAACAAAACAAACAAACAAAACAACAAAACAACAAAACAATAAACAACAAACAACAAACAACAAACAACAAACAACAAACACCAAACAACAAACAACAAAAAACAACAACAAACAAAAACAACCAACAACAACAACAACAACAAACAACACCAACACCAACAAAACAACAACACAACAACAACACCAACACCACACCAACCACCAACACCAAACACCAACAACCAAAACAAACACAACAAACAACACCAACAACAAGAACAACAGCAGCAACAACAACAAAAAACAACAAGAATCCGACGCGGCATTCACATCAGCCACGCACCAGGGACAATGACGACCGGTCGGCCCCTCACTCTGACCTCTGAACGTGGTTGTTGGTCGGGGTTGGTCGCGGCTCATAGGTCTCGGATGTGTCAAGAGGGCTCTCCACTTGGAAGGAATGCAAAAAAGCCCGCCGCAGGCGCCGAAAATTGTGGTTTGTACCTTGAAAGTGGTTTGGGTCGAAGGTGGGTCGCGGGTGGGTCGCGGGGTAGGTCGCGGGTGGGTCGCGGGTGGGTCGCGGGTGGGTCGCGGGTGGGTCGCGGGTGGGTCGCGGGTTGGTCGCGGGGTGGGTCGCGGGGCGGTCGCGGGGTGGGTCGCGGGTTGGGTCGCGGGGTGGGTCGCGGAGTGGGTCGCGGGGTGGGTCGCGGGGTGGGTCGCGAGTGGGTCGCGGGTGGGTCGCGGGTGGGTCGCGGGGTGGGTCGCGGGGTGGGTCGCGGGTGGGTCGCGGGGCGGGTCGCGGGTGGGACGACGACAACAAACAACAACAACAACAACAACAACAACAACAACAACAACAACAACAACAACAACAACAACAACAACAACAACAACAACAACAACAACAACAACAACAACAACAACAACAACAACAACAACAACAACAACAACAACACAACAACAACAACAACAACAACAACAATTACTAGCACGTGGGGACACTCCGTTCTCACCAGTGCCAGGGTTTTCATAGGAGGCGGGCAATACCCCCACTTTGTGGGGGGGCCGGTTCAAGCTCTACCAATTTTCCAAACGACTCTTCGCCACCACCCACACCCAGCTTCCCGCCCTATGACGCTCGGACACTTCACTTCGTGGCATGCGGACGACCGTGGCTACTATTCAGGGCCCGCGGCCGACGACGACGGCGTGCGCG